ATATGACACACAAGAAGCCTCCAAGCACGAGGAAGCTGTCTCCACATAGTGCCATCAGCTTACTGGGCTCCTGCTGCCACAGTTCCAAGGACAAGAACTAGCACAGCAGACACTAAGGCTAGTGACACCAGACACTAAACACCATTGGCACGCATCTTCAGAGTAAGAATCAGTTAGCCAGAGCTACATAGCAACACACACACACACACACACACACACACACACACACACATATATATATATATATGGGGACAGGACAGTAAATCATTCCAGTAACTTAAGATTCAGGAAAACCAACAACAAGATGAGATTATATATTTTTAAATTAAAACTAGTACCATTGATAAGACCTTTTAAAAATAAAAACAAAATGCCTGTCCAAAATTCAAAATTTCTTTTACTGGTAAGGACACAAAAATCATAAAATAACATAACATCTCCACATAGCACATTTGGAAAAATCACTTCTAGTATGTGCCTGTGGCCAAAGCTCTATGCCAGACAATGGCTGAAGCCTCACCCTTATGAAGAATGTTTGGTTTTGGACCCTGGGACAAAGGACTGAAGTGCATTATTTTATATAACAAAGCAGACCTGGCCTCCAGGTTCTACCAGCATCCCTCAGTCCCTAGCTGGCATATCCTGGCCCCAACCCTCAACTTTCTAGCCCAGGACCTGGGCTGTCCTTCCCCCAGAGGCTCCTCCCTATATAATCCAGACATTCTGGTCTCTCTTCTCTTCTTTCTCTGGGCATGCACATGCCCCATTCTTTCTCCCTCCCCCAACCCCGCTTTCCCCATGGCAACTTCCCCGGCCTTGGTCCTTTTGGAGCCAGTAAATTCACCCACTCTAGAGCAGCTCCCCAATAAACCTGCCTTTAATATAATCTAATCTGGTTTGAACTGGCTCTTTTCACTGGTGGCAGGGGAGGAGAAATAACCTATCACAGAACACATTCAGGGCTGAGTTGTAGGAGGCCAGTCACTATTCTCACACAGAGGCAAAGTGGCTAACTATGCCATAGCACAGGAGAAGAAGGGTCTGGTGCCCCTAGAAGGAATGGTAGCTCACAGACTTCACAGATTTCAAGACCTAAGGCTAATTCAGCTTTCCAGCATCTAGCTGCCAAAGCCTTCCAAGGCACACAAAAGAACACTGTACCCTACCAAGTCCAACCAAGTGGACACAGCAGGAAAACCAGCAGAGTCTTTTTGGGGAACCAAGGCTTACTGATCTGATGTTCACCACCATAAGTACAAGAAATGTTCTTTACAATACACAAGTGAAAGTAAAATATTATACACTAAGAGCATTCTCTTCCACCAGAAAGTTACAGTGAGGATTTCCGTGTACTTAAAAACAGGATATTTGCTGGGTAGCGGTGGCGCATGCCTTTAATCCCAGCACTTGGGAGGCAGAGGCAGGTGGATTTCTGAGTTCGAGGCCAGCCTGGTCTACAGAGTGAGTTCCAGAACAGCCAGGACTACACAGAGAAACTTTGTCTCAAAAAAACTCAAACAAACAAACAAACAAAAACAAAACAGGGTATTCCCCAAGTATTTCCAACTACTCTGGGATAAGTGGCATGGTATACTGTTTCTGTAGCCCATGAACTTATACATAGCCTCATGTTTGGGAGTCACCTACCCTGCCCCAGGTTACTTTGTTTCTGCCATTATCAGGGTCCCCATTAATAGGGTCAACCCAGCCATTGAGCCTCCTTCAAGACTGCAGCAAAGGATTTCAAAGCCAAGATCCTACAATGCATGACTTTCAATGACTAAGTACTCAAGCCAGCAACTGGGAGGCAAAGGCAGCTGTGGATATTTTTAAGTTCAAGGCCACCCTGATCTAATCAGCAAATGCCAGGCCAGCCATGTTTACATTGGTGACACCCTGTCTCAAACAACAAAAGGGACAGAAGGCAGAGGAAAGGGGGAGGTAAGGAGGGAACCTGAAAAGTTAACTAGCCACCCGGTGATGGCAGCTCAGTGTTAGGTGACAAATGTGCCCGCACGGCATCTGCAATCTGTTAATAAACAAGAGGCACTGATTAACAAAGCAGTACATGCCATCTTCCCATCTTCCCGCCTAGCTGTCCCTTTGCAGGAACTAGCCAATGAGGTGAACAGCAGTTAAGGCTAGCCTGTGCTATAGAAAACATGTAAGAGGAAAGTAGAAGGGGGCGAGGAGAGCAAGGGAGGGTGTCCCAGTCTGCACAATGAGGATTTTGAGCCATATAAACTATGGACAACTGGCTTCTTATCCATGATATTTGTTATTCTTTATCAAATAATTAAAAGATGAAACTGTCTCTCAAGGTTTTGAGCTTTCTTTCTAGCATACTGTGTTGGACTCTTTTAAAGATCTCTAGTTCTTATGCTCAAGTGTGAACAGCTTCACGTCATCCAACCTCTATCACAGCACGTTTGCTGCGTTTGCCAGAGTCAGTTTTATCACACTGCTGTTCACAGAGTCAGTCCTACATGAGTCTACTGTCTAACAATTCAAAGCAGCTCAAGGCACAGCACAGTGGACAAGATGAAGAAGAAAAGGATTTAAAGTTACAAAGAGCAAGATGAAACAAGAAGGGAAAGATTTCTACTTGAGCCATGAGGAGACAGCAAGGTTAAGTGCAAATTAAATGTAGGAAAAGCCTCAACCTGAAACTAAATATTAATTTTAAAACCAATTAAAATTCTATGTGTATTATAGAGATAAAGTAACAAGAATCCAAATTTTCAAAAGATAGAATTAATCTTATAAATGAAACAGATTAAACCACCAGCTGGGATGCATATCAGTCAGGCTTAGGGAGGAGGCTCCTGCCATTCTGTTCTCCCGACCATGGGAAGATGGGTAGCCCAGTGCTCCACACAGAAATGCCTCCAAAGAAATCTAAATGAAACATGGCCAACAGCGGCTAGAGGTGGCTCAGTGGTGAAAAGCACTGACTGGATCACTGGAAAACTTGAACGTTGGGCCAGCAGGATCACTCAGCGGGGTAACATGCTGGCCATCAAGTCTGAATTCAATCAGAAATCAATGCCTGCAAGTTGTCCTTTAACACGACATGTGTGTATATGTATGGGCATACACACAAACAAGTAAAAAATGGAAACAAATTTTATTAAATATCTAATTATTCATATGCTTATCATGTATTTGGATCCAGTTCATCTCTCACCCCTTCCCCTACAATTCTTCCCCTAATCTCCCTCGGTTTTTCCTCTCAACTTTACAAAAAAAAAATAATAATTTTTTTAAGGTTTTTCCTCTCAACTTTACCAAAAAAAAATTTTTTTAAGGAAAAACGGAACATATACTTAATACTCAAATTCCTATTTGGGAATTGCTGTGGGTTTTGCTACTGGTAAGTGATGCAGGAGGAAATATGCACAGGTGAGGTGGCGTGACACCTGCAACTCATTCCAGACAGTCTGAGTTAAAACAAGGCACAGATATGTCTATATAATTTACGGCAAAATGTCAACAAGTGCTGACCCAAGGTGCTGCGCATTTGGACAAACGTCTTTCTATCCTTTCAGTTTTTAGTACAAACTTACTAAAGCCGGTTCCTATGTCTAAGCTTACAGAGCACAAAGCATAGGCAGCTCAGCTGAGCGTGTGACTATATATACACATATAACATGAGGTCTCGGGGGTTCCACTCAAATCCCTTAAATTTAAATCTCTTTTAAGGCTTAAAAGAGGAAAAAAAGAATCTCCCAAGAAGCAAGTGTCCACGAATGCGTCCCCACTTAAAAGGACCCAGTGCTACACAGGCCAAACGAGCCCAGGTGGAGCACAGCCGTTAGACCACAGCCTCTCAGCCTCTCCTCCTTCACTCGTCATCAAGGGCTCAGAGTCAAGAATGAATCAGGTCCTAAGAAGAAAGCTATTCTCTGTAGAGCACAAAAAAGCAAAAGGAAAACAAGTGATTTCTAAGAGGAAAGGGAGATGAACTTTCAAGAGAAGCTCAAGACAGCCTTAATGAGAACCATTTCAGAGAAAAGACAACAAACATTTTGAAGCACACAAGTGAGAGGAAAAAGCAGAGTCCAAGTGAGAGTGAGACTCCACACAAGTGAGAGTCCAAGCAGGAAGGAACAAAAAAGAAATTCTACTTGAGAGAATTCCCTTCAGGAAATCAATAATGTGCAAAAAACGAAAGTAAACAGCACTTAGAGCTGTTTATGGAGGAGAGTTACAGTGACCAAATTCAGATTTCATGACACACCTCTGGAAACCACCAAATTTACCCTTCCTTCCCTGACGATAAGGAAGCTGGTCCCAGAGCTGGAAGAGATACAGCGTCCAAGTCCCCACCTTTGCATTTCCTAAAGCACATGATAAAGGCAGTCCCTGAGGTGTCAGCCAGTGTCCTCATGGCCCACGGCAATCTCACTCATTCTGTTAGGCTTACGTCAAACCATGACCTCCTCACTTAAGAGCACCCTGCTGAAAAGTCTCTTTCCTGATTTTCATTACCATCACAAACGGAGAAAACCAAAAGGAGAATGAGTAAGAAAACACTGTTAATAAACCAGTCCAAAGCAACCACTCTCCCATTAGTCAAGAAACATTACAATACACTTCTTTATAACTATACAAAAGTAAAAAATCATGAAATCCTTAGACTGCTAAAACATGTTGATCTAAGTGACAAGTGACATTATCTACTGAAAAAAACTTTAGTATTTTAAGCAAAAATATTCATTATAAAACTGAAGTTCAAATATTTCTTCCTGTCTAGTTAGATACAGGATTCCTTGAAGGGCATTTGGAAGCAATGTATAAGTTTGCCTATCACACAGGTGCTGAGAATAAGGGGGGAAGCATGGTTATTCATTAAGACAGAGCAGATCCCAAGATAAGTCACAAGTCATCACTACCCACACAGCATCTCCCCTTCTTCAGTAAAGTCCTTAAGGCATTGTAAAAGCAATAGCAGTCACATGGGCAGGCCAAAGGCTGGAAAAATCAAGCAGCGTCTGTACCTTCAGTGAGGCGAGTGGATGCTCTGGACCAAGTAAACTCCAATGAAAGGAAGCCAGATCCTCATCAGGTAGTATGTGATTTCCTAGAATACAAATGTAGAGAATGCAAAGGCTGTCATTACTGTGTCATGACGCGGGGAAACTTCTACATCATGTATGCTAGATAACTCACATTCAGCCTCCAAGCAGAAAGGAACATTTCTTCACACTGTACCTTGAACACCATACACAGCAGGCTCCTTACAGCTGATGCCAGCATCAAGTGAGTTTTAGTCTGGACATCACTCACACTAAGGACTTCACAGTGCTACACACATAAACAACTTCCCAGCTGTATTCAGCCACTCTGAGGATCCCAGGAGGTCACACACGGTCCAGACCTAACTTTTTCTGTGTTCCTGAAATACCAGTGGTTCAAACTTACCTGACAGTTAATTACACAGCCAGGTATGGAGTCTGCAGTTATAAACTCTTCCTTAGGAAGATTAAATGACGACTCTGTTGCAGCATGAATCACCCGCCACACACAGTACCATGAGAGAACACAGACTACACAGTATCTAAGCTGTCTGTCCTGCCTCTAGAGCTTGAAGGACTTGAGAGCCTAAAACACTAACATCTCTCTATAGGTTGTTGGCACTCTTGATGAAATTCAAATTTTCATCAAGTAATTTTCTAAGTAACTCTAAGGTTTGTATCATGGTTCAATGACTTCCATATTAAAACCTCAGATTCTTTATCTACCTGCTAACGGACAATAGCACAAAGTGCAACCATTCACAACACTGCCTACAGCACAGTAGCCCAAACTTAAGTCAAACATTTAAATGTATATTCTACTCAACTTCGCCAAAATAAAATTTTAAATAGCTGCACTTTTCATAACAGGAAAGGAAAATAGCTTTAAAGACAATGAAATTTTAACAAAGTCTAAAATAAATCATCTTACTAATAATTTACCTAAAATTTATCAATAGTCTAGACTCTCTACCTGGAAAAATTTTTAACTACTAGGAATTGAACATAGAGGTAATATTATTCTGCCCCTGAGCTACACCCCCAATTGCTTTTTACTTTTTTGTTTTGTGACAGAGTCTTACTAAGTTGCCCAACAGGACGTAAATTTATAATCTTCTTGCCTCATCCTCCTGGGTGGCAGGGGTACACACCTAGCCAAAATATTACTATGGAATTTTTTTCTTCATTTATTTCAAAAATTTCTAATAAGTATCTAGAAAAGTATAAGTTGATATTACCTCCTAAGAAATATAGTCAATGTTTCTTAAAGAGAAAATTAAGTATATTCATCCATATTTCAAAATCTAGACAAAAGACATTTTGCTTAGTACTTGAGTGAACATGGAATTCTATATAATGTGCCACCTACCTACCAACTTTTGTAAGAAAATAGGTTCTCGATATGCTACATAACATGCCAGCTTCAAATTCCCAATCTTCCTGACTCAGCCTTCCAAATGATGAGAGTGTATGCTCAACGCATACTTTTAACATCAAAACAAGTAAGTATCCTTTTACATTATAACTTCTGAAAATATGTATAATGGCACATCTTTTATAACCCCAGCATGATTCTGTGTGCGTTCCCTCCTTAGGGCTCATTAATCAGCTAGCCTATATTTACTGGTGAGCACTGCATCCCATGAGGTGCCCCTATCTCAAAACAAAAGACATCATCAACAACAACACAAAGTCAACACCCGTCCTGAAGAATGTCTTTAGAGACTGACTTCTGACCTATATACACCTACCTTTCTGATAACTAGGATTTTCAAAAAAAATAACTCACAATCTAATAAACTAACTCCATAGAAAGCACAGTAACTTTGCTAGAGACCATGCAGCTTCCCAAAGGGCCCTGAATATCTAAAGCAGGGAAACAAGAAGGTAAGTCACAGAAAAACATCACTCCAAAAACCAAACACTCCCAATTGGACACAGTTACACAGACTCAAAAGTTAGAGCTGGACTTTACAATAGCTTGACACACACATATGAAGACAGAGAAAGGGTAAGCTAACAGAGGAAAGGAACTACATAAGACAAGTGCAAGGTAAAAGGAATACACAGACATGTGACCTCAAGAACAGTTAAGTAACATACGTTCGTATATAAAACCTGCATAGAACCTATCCTTTCTGGAAATAAAGCAAAATGATTCTTTCATGGATTTTTTTTTTTAATTTACTTACAAGAGTTTTGTTTTGTTTTAAAGTAGTTGTTTTTCTGCTGGGTGTGATGTCACACACAAACAACCTGTGGAGCACAGACAGGAAGACCGAAAATCCAAGCTCACCCTCAGCTATATGGTGATTGGAAGCCAACCTAGACTATGTAAGAAGACTCTAGCTCATAACAAAAGAAACAAAACGGTAGTTGTTTTCTTTTATAGTAGTGGCTACCATTGTAAAGGGAAAGAAATCAGAGCAATGCTTTGGTCCTGTAGTACACTTTCTTTGTGGCTAAAATCTGTTGTTGGGTTTTTTTGTGTTTTTTTGTTTGGTTGGTTTTTTGTTTGGTTTTTGGGGGTTATTGGGGGGGGGTGTCCCTTTAGGATTTTTTTTTTTTTTTTTTTTTTGGCTTTTTGAGACAGGGTTTCTCCATGTAGCCCTGGCTATACTAGAACTCGCTCTGTAGACCAGGCTAGCCTCAAACTCAGGTATCTCTTTACCTCTGCCTCCTCAAGTACTGGGATTAAAGGTGTCCACCACCACTGCCTGGCAAAATTTTTCTCCTAATTGTAGCATTATTTTCTTGTATGTATAAGTGTTTTGTATCTGTGTAGGTATATATGTGTATCATATACTTGTGTGCCTGGCACCCACACATCCAGGGCACTAGATCCCCTGGAACTGAAGTTATGGATGGATGGTTGTGAGCCACTGTGAAGGTTCTAGGAACCAAACCAGGGGTAGGATCCTCTGCAAGAACAGTAAATGCTCTTAACCTCTAAACCATCTTTCTAATCCAAGATTCATCTTATTTTTAATTATATGTATATATGTGTGTTTCTACGTGGAAATATGTACATGTGTGTGCAGGTACTTGTAGAGACAAGTCACCCAACATGGTGTGGGAACATTTGTTTTTGAGACAAGGTAGCTCACTGGGTAGCTCAGAATGATCTTGAACTTGCTATGTATCAGAAGCTGGCCTGGATGTGGTGATCCTCCTGCCTCAGCTTTGAAGGAATGCTGGGATTACAGGCTTGTGCCACCATGCTAGGCACATATTTTCTACTATTATAAACACAGTTTCCAATACCAGGCTAATCGCTGACCCTTTTATAACAGGCATGTGCCAGCATTTGTGACTCAGAAATGTTCTTGCTCTATAACTTTGAGCCTATCTCACAGAGTAAGTTTTCCAGCCTGGATTGAAGAACATATAAGCAACATACAAACATGCTAGAAACTAGAAACAAGAACAATACATTATCAACAAAACCCAAAAGAATGCACCTGAAGAGCCCACTCTCTCACTCTGATATAACACCAAAGCATCCAGGCAGAAAAATCTTCAAAAGATACGTCAGGATTCTCATGTACCACTCCCTTAGAAAATAGTTTTCACACCACTCCACCTACCTAACAGAGCAGCAAAAATAGGAAAACGGTTTGGGTTCAGGTCCAGTTGCTTGGCAACCTCGTGCATCAGATATTGGCTTGTGGTGAGACTCTTCCCGTTGCGGCTCAGTTTCAAGGCATGGGCACTGAAGTAGTAGGGGATGTTGCACAGTGCATAATCAGAGTCATACGCCACCAAGCCATGGAAACCATTCTCTCTGCAGAAGCCAATCACTTCTTGATGATGATCCTCAATGCTCTGTGCAACCTACACACAGGAAAAGAAGGAAAGGCCATCAGACGCAGGCTCTAACTGCAGCAGCAGGTTCAACAGGAAGATGTATTTGACATCATGAAAGAGCTACTGATAAAAACATTATCCAAATGATCAAAAAGTGTCAGGACCAAGTGTGTAACATACTGCTCCAAAAGGAATCTCAGAGATGAACTGAATTCAAATCATCAGTCAGTAATTTACCAACCATCCCATCTAGACTACAAATTCTCCGCTAATGACAATTCCAAAGTCACCCACTTGAAAACAAGCAAATCTGACTGATCCCTGTAACAGTATTTTAAAAGAAAGGAAACTGGAGGGGGGTAAGATAGAGGAAGAGAATGCAAGTGGAAAGGATAAGACAAAGAAGCCGCCCACCTTTGCTACAGCTGACACAACCTCTTCAAAGTGTTGGAAAGCAACGCTACACTGTCCCTTAAATAAAGGTCTGCATTAACTATCCATCTCCTAGGTCCACACTCCTGAGGGATTCATCACAGGGGAACCTCAGGTACACACGACCACCCTAAAGATAACTGTCCCTCTGTAACCAAAGTCAGGACTACCACTTAGACTCACTATAAACTGTCATGTTTGTGAAGAGAAGAGGTCACACATTTCCACTTTGCATGCCCATCATGAACCATGCACAGCAACCTAACCTGAAAATTCACAGAGCAGCAGGCAGCAAGATATACCCAAGAAGTAGATACACCCAAGAGGTAGATATACCCAAGAGGTCCTGGGCAAGGGTGGGGGGTGGGGGAGTCACCATAGTCCTAGACATATACCCACAAGCACCGAAGACTGCTCTGGAATGTTAACACCAAAGTCCAAATCATTTTTTAAATTTTAAGTAAAGACTAATGCTTCAAATCCCAAACTGCTGATTCCTCTTGTTACTTCTCTAACTCTAACTAAAATTCTAGAAAGCTGTTTGTTTCTACAATGAAGGTATTTTAAAGAACTTACATTAAATCAGGGGACTCAGTTAAATCTCTAGACACTTAGAGGAGAAATAACCTGCAATTTCTAGAACTACAATCTAATGTATGGATATAATTGGTGAAATTTTAGATTAAATTCAAAATTACGTTCCAGCAGCCAATGGTCAGGTGATCAGCAGCTTTCCTACAGCACCTAACTGACAGAACATTTGTGTCTCCTCAGAGGAGGCGGTGATCATCAGTAACCTAATCTCCTCTCTGGCTTTCACAATGGAAGTGGTTTCTAGGACTTACTGAAATATTAGTTGCAATGAAAACCCATCAAGAGGCAAAACAAACTATTAATGATAGTAGTTAAAGGAAAAAGTAACCTTTTGAATTCTCTTGTGGAAAATGTAATATGGTATTTATAAGTTATAAGAAAAAGTAAAGCTACAATTAGTCAAGTAATGTTCTATTCCTTAGAATAAGAGAAATTTACCCGATCCTTAAAATCTACAAATACACCAGCTAAAACAGAAAAGTAGGTGAAATTTTTTTTCTAAAATTAATCTCATCCAGAAATGGTAATCTTAGTCTAGTTTCAAATTCTTTAATCAAATAATTTTCTTTCAAAGAAATTTTCAAGTATTGTTAAATTAGAAATCACTGGTTGTTTTCCAGACATGCCCTCTGGAGAAGTTCTACAGTAAAAGGGAACAGAGAGCCACCAGTTGCCCCTCCCTAAAGGATTCCTAGGGCAGACAGGTGGCCACTTGTTCCAGAGGCACTTGAAGGAAATGGCGCAATGTGTTCGAGCTGTCCCTGTTTCTGTATACAAGGCAGTCTATCAGCTCCAGAAAACAGAGTGGATGTTCCCCCAAGGTTAGGGACCAGGATGGCGAGGCTCAACTCCTGATTACATCACTCTCTGAACTTTCCAGGCTATGAGCTTCCAAAGGCAGTATGTCACAAAGCTTTTCTCCTAAGGAATGAATAGTTTTTCAATAAAAGCTGAAATAAAAGGTGGCTCTAGGTGAGTTTTCAAAGCCACGCTCATACAGATCTGAAACAAATTCTAAGACCAGGAAGAGACCCTGACCAGGTGGAGCTCCCCCTGGGATCAGGAGCCAGAAAGTGGAAGGTCATCAGGGGTCAGGCCTAACTTGGCAGCTTTCAAATAAGGCTGTGAGTGTTGTAAAACAGTAAGCAATATATTTTAAAAGCTGTAAAACCTTCATGCTCTTTGACCAGTAACTCTACTCCAGGAAACAGCTAATCCACCAAATAAAAATCATTAGAATCATAAAAAGAAACATAGTAACTTCTACAGGAGAAAACTAAACATTATGAAAAAGGTAAAGTCACTATAATGCTTTGTGGGAAAACTTAAGGAAAGTTTCATTAAAACATTTTAGAACACAATATAATGTAATTACAGCTATGCAGAACTATGTCTGTAGAAATAGAGTGAAAAGGAAAAGACCCAAAAGAATGTGTATGCACAACTTTCTGAGATTGCCCGCCCCCAGGGGGGTTGGGGAGGTGCGGAGTCGGGTAAGCAAACCTGGTTAAGAACTAGGAAGCAGGTTAGTGGCTGGGTGAGGGCCTAACACGTGCAAGGCCCTGATTCCATCCTGGTACCACCAAAACAAAAAAGAACAGTTCCACTAGAAAGCAGTCCACTCTCTGGTCCTCTCTGTGCTGTAGACTTGGGCAGATTCCCACACTGTATAGACAGGTCTGTCTCTAAAGAAGACAAGGCCCTGGCCTCATACATCCAGAGCAGCAGCCACACTCTCTCTCTTCCATGGCGGCTGCTCACATGTCCTCCACAGCCATTGTGCCTGCTCTTGCTACTCAAGAGGACATCCCTAATCTGTAACTCAAGACTCTGGGGATTCAAGGGATAGGGCATTTCTCCTTCTCAGTGCCTCCAGGTGTCAGCCAGCAAGCCTTCTTCTCGAATACAAAGATGTGTGGGTAAGCAGAGGTCTTTGTCTTTTGTAGAGACAAACGCACAAAACATAAGAATCTACCCAAAGTCTACAGCAAAGAGAAGACCGGAGAGTGTGTTTCTAATAAGACTTCTTTTTCTCCTCTCTTGTACTAGTGCCGGAATAGATTCCAGGGCATCGCACAAGTTAGGCCCTCACCCAGGACTAATTTGTTTCCAGCCCTGAACCAGGAATGAATGAATGAATGAATGAATGAATGAATGAATGAATGAATGAATGAACGAACAAGCTAGGTAAGGATGAATGTGTATAGTGGCACAATTAACAAGCTTTAAGCAAGGGTAGTTGATAAAAGGTCTAGCTGAGGATGTGATCCTAGTGCAAACAGTATAAGGGGGAGGCCTGGGAGGGAATAAGAGAGAGAGTGCTATACCATAGGCAGTCAGCTATCCAAAAATACAGGATGAGGAAACTGGGCATGGTGGTACACAATGTGATCTCAACACCTGGAAGGTGGCAGCTGGAAGACCAAGAGATCAAAGCCAGCCCCAGCTGTATAAGATACTGTCGCAAATAAATAAATTACTATAAATTTTAAATTAGGGTTTGGGGAGATGGCTCAGGTGATGTGCCTGTCATATATGCATAAGAACCTAAGCTTGGACTCCCCTAAATCTATGTAAAAGAAGTTTTGTAATCCCAACACTGGGAGGAAGAGCCAGCAGTATGCCCAGGAGCTCACTAGCCAGCAACACTAGCTCTATCAAGAAACTCTGTCTCACAACTAAGGTAGAAATACACTGAACGTTGACCACTGGCCTCCATATGCACATGTATACACACATGAGCACATGTACACACACATTCACAAACACATGTACATACACGCACATACATATAAACACACATATTAAGCACTAAAGCTTCAGTGCTGGGGAGCCAGAGTAGGAAAACAGAAGCTATAGCCCACCCTCCTCTGGTAATCAGGACTCCATTACTTTTCCCTTTTCATTTGCTTCTACTCTTCCAATGAGTAAGCCTGGAAATAATACAATGAAATTTGTATTTCTATAGCTTCATAAATTTGTTAATTTCAGTTTTAAAAGTAAATAAAAATAATGAAGCTTGAGGCTAGAAAGATGACCTTAGATGGTTAGGAGTGCTTGCTCGGCAATCAGGAGCAGAGTCTGGTCTCATGTAAGAAGCCAGCATCCCCCACCCAGGGCAGAGTGGTACAGAGACAGGAGACTGCTGGGGTTTGCTGGCTTCTAGCAAGACTACGAGGGAGCCCAGGGTGTAAGGATACAGAGACGCTGCCTGAGAAGGAACAGGCAGAAAGCTTAGAGGAAGACAAAACATGCCTTCTGCTTGATACACCAGCACTAACACAGACATCCATGTAAGTAATAAACTTTGAGATGGAGGTCTATGGAAGAGTGCTTGCCTAACAAGTGGGAGACTAGAGCAATGGTTCTCAACCTTCCTACTGCTGGACCCTCATGTTGTGGTGACCCGCAACCATAAAATGACTTTTGTTGCTACTCATAAGTATAATTTTACTACTATTATGAATTGTGATGTATATCTGTGTTTTCTGATAATCGTAGGTCACGTGACCCCTGTGAAAGGTTGAGAGGCCCTTCCCTAGAGTCAAACCCCAACATGGAAAAAAGGTATATCATCAAATTGGTGACAGATGTCTATAATCTCAGCACTCGGTGTGCCAAGGCAAGGAAAGCTCAAGGACAGTCTAGATTACATAACAGGACCCTTTCTTTTAAAAAGTAATATAAAAAAAGTTTTTTAATGAGAATCTTATGATATAATGTTGAGAATATTGTTATTATTAACCTCCAGAAAGCATAAAAACAAGGTAACTAAGCCTTCACAACTACTTAAGAGAGCTCACAAAGGAAGTAAAACTCATCTCTCACTAAGGTGGATCAGCCTTGGATTTGAGCTGGAAATCTCAAGCCGTAAGCCCTGGAGACTATGCAAGCTTCTGATCAAGGAAGTGAAACTCCAAAACTCCTGCACACACTCAAAAGAACCAGCTTTTACAGCTCCAGCTGAGCGCAAGGCCAGTGACCCACACAGGTGCCTGGGC